GGCGCGGCGGTGGGCAGCGCCCCTGAGCGCCGGGCAGCGCCCCGGCCCGGCCCCCCGTGCGCCCTCCCCATGGGCGCTGCGCCCTAGCGCCGGACCATGGCCAAGTGGCTGACCAAGTACTTCAGCCTGGGCAACAACAAGGCCAAGAGTCCCCCGCAGCCGCCGCGGCCCGACTACCGGGACCGGCGCCCCGGGGCCGAGTTGCTGGCCGCGCACCGCCACACCTCGCCCCGCCTGGCGCCCCGCCACCTGGGCGACGACCCCGGCGAGCTGCTGCGCGCCTACCGCGCCCAGAAGGAGCGCGACTTCGAGGACCCCTACAGCGGGCCCGGCTCGTCCCTGCGCAAGCTGCGCGCCCTGTGCCGCCCGGAGCCCTGCGCGCCCGAGGAGCCGGCCGCCAAGCCCCCCTCGGCCGCCGGCTCGCCGCACCTCTTCCGCAGCCAGAGCGAGCGCCGGCCGCCCACCCCGCCCGACGGCCGCTACCTCTCCCCCAAGCACCGGCTCATCAAGATCGACAGCGGCTGCGAGGGCGCGGGGGGCTGCAAGGGCGCCGCCGCCCCGGCCATCACCTGGAGCCCGCCCGGCGGCGCCGGCAAGAAGGTGGGCAAGTGCGCGGAGCCGCCGGAGAGCAGCGTCCCTTCCGCCAAGCCGGAGAAGGTGAGAGCGCCGCCGGGCATGGGTTTGCCGTGGGACGCGCTGGGTCTCGGGGCAGACAGGCAAGCGGTGCCCAAGCTCGGGGCTTGGCAGGGCTGTGACCCTGGTTTGGGGCAGTACAGCTGCCCGGTCTGCGGGAGCTGAAGTGACACCAGTTCTGCACACGCCCGCGGGGAATCCTTGAGACGCAGGGTGCGAAGCGCTTGAGGGGAGACCAGCTAGGGGGGCAGGTTGTCTCTTGGTCAGAGGCTTGGGCACCGCTAGGCTCCGACTTGCCGTGTGGTGACGGTGACTCAACTGCTTTCTCTGACCAAATCAAAGAGCAAGATCTGAGGCCATCATGTGTCAGAGGGGGGAAGAAAGAGAGAAAGGAGAGGTGTCCAGGTCAGTAAAGGGAGAGAGATTTTTTTAATCTCAGCGTTGCAGGAAATAAGATTTGGAAAAGAGAAAAAGAACTACAATACAGGAGTTTAACGCCAGCCACTTGGTGCTGGCACTCGGAGCTGGAGGTGTTAGCAAGGTTGCTAGGAGTGCTGAGGATGCATCACCATCTGTTCTATTCCTGTCTGTGATTTTGTGTCACCCAGGCATCAAACATCAGAAAGCAAGTGAAGCTTTTTACAGGTTTCGCTGTGACCTACTTTGCCTGATTTTCAACCCATCTCATTATTTTGTCTTCAGATCTGAAAAGTGATTTATGTGCTAGAATCAGGAGATTTCTTGGCTTCAATCATTTGCATTTTTCCTGAAGATGCTCTGTGGAAATAATTTTGTGATTTAAGTTATGGGTGCTTACTCCATAACTTTTTGACAGCTGTTCATAGGGAAAGCAGTATACATCACCTTCCTCCTTTTGCATGTACGCTGTCTGTAGCCAGTCATACTGAACAAATTACAAAAGTTGATTTTAAGAGTAAGGCAAATGGTAGTGAGATTGCTTTAGAGACTATTTAATGGAAACTTATGCCCAATGTTTGGAAAGGCTTTAAAAATAAATATATATATTAAGAATATAGGGATTCTCTTCCATACAACTGAATTATTTTGCTGGTCACTGCTTGCTTCTGGCGTAGGTTCTAGAATATAAGAATACCTGACCAAGATGTGATTCAGCACGTGAGGTTAGCTCCATATGTCTGTCACTGACTGATATGAACATTATGGAAGGGTTGCTTTTAGTCACTTATGTTGAAATGTAAATAGACACTAGATACTATGGTGATGAGCACCATAGAAATGCCTGTAAATGAATGGGAGGGGAAGTTCAGTGGCAAAGGTGAAGCAGAGATTAAGGTTGAGTAAAGTCCCATTGATTACGCCATATCTATTGGTGGTTTGTGCAATAGAAGGCACAATACTGAAACAGACTTCCGTGCTTGAGGCTCAACTGTAAATATTTTGCTTTCTTCGGGTAGTATTTCTCTACAGCAGTGGTTCCCAAACGTTAACCTGTGAACCTCTTTCACTAAAATGTCAAGTCTTGCGACCCCCCCCTCCTAAAAATGAATATTTCCAGGGATTTTGTCCTTTACCCGAGTATAAATAATAAAAGCAGTGATCTTGGAAATATAAAATTTGTTTTTATGACATGCTTATTACATGCTATTTATTATTATTTATCATTACAGTATTTTTATTACATTATGAAAACGGCAACACTCTTCCAAGATCTCACTTTCGTAGCTTGTATCACTTTGAATAAGTCTGTTGTAAGACAAGGCTCCTATGTTTCATCAAAGAGTATCAGATGTGAAACAGCATGAAGGGATTTAAAAAGCCAACTCAGAGTTCCTCCTACACAAGCATTCAGGTCTTTACAACAAAGCTTAAACTTGTTCTTGATAATCATTTTAAAAACAATACTAGCTGCCTATTTAATTTTAAAAACAACAAAATATATCCACCTCCCTTTTCATTTCTTATAAAGAGTTTTGAAGTTTAAATCTCCTCAGTGTGATAGAAATGCTTGCTTTGATCTGCTTAGTTCTTGGAAGTCCAGGGGCTCCGGGCTTCTGGCCCAGTGCTACCTGGGGTCCCTAGGGACAGCTCTGGCCGCCATTAGGAATTTTTTTCCCAAGAACCCCCTCTAACATTTCGCGAACCTCCAGGGTTCACAAACCCCGGTTTGGGAACCACTGCTCTACAGGTATGTACCAAGCACTGCAAACACTAGACCATCTATGGAGAAATCATGGCGGCCTTTGTACAGGGAAGTAGTATTAATCATTTAAAAGTGAAGCTGGTATCCCCGCTTTTATTATCCTGATAACCATAGTCTAGTTTTCCCTGAGCGTAGTAGTGACTAGTTCTCAATTCAACGGCAGCATACTCTGGAGTGTACAGGAGAGATTAATGTAACAGTAGGTTCATATAATCTAAATATTTGCTGGATATTATCAATTTAAATTGGGTAAGTGTGTGCATTTTTAGGCATATAACGTGGTTGAATTGAATGGTAACACATTTCCATTGTGATTTAAATGAATAAATTATATTCTATCCTAACCTAATTCCAAATAAATCAAGTTGTCAGGATAAAATAAGATTAAAACGCCAAGATATTTATTGTATTGTCAGTCAGTCATATGTAGTCACTGACTGGAAACACTTCTTTTCAAGCAAGTGAGTGATTTAAAGTTAAAATATTAATTCTTGTTTCACTTCTCCATAGGCCGCATGGCTTGAGATCTGTATTTGAAAGTGGCATGCCTCCGGCATCTCCTCCTTTGGGGCATGTATATTTAGAAAGTACCTGCCTAGTAGGGCATATGTAATGCATAATAGTTGCTCATTGGGCATGAATTTCTAAAAATCACGTGACAGTCACAAGCAAAATCATTTTACTCAATTTTAAACCCTACTGGAACAATTTTTTTTTTTAAATAGCAGCTTCTAAATCTGCAACCATGGCAGCCTGTTAGAAAACATGTACAGTATTTACCCATTAGATTGGAACAACTCAGGGAACTGCTCTTTTCAATTATATACTTGTTCGGAGGCTACAAGCTAAGTTAAACAAAACAAAAACCCAACAATCATTGTTTAAAAACAGTTTGGATAAGCAGTTGAAGGCTCTTAAAGTAAGATAATGCCAAAAGTGACTTCCCAAATCTCAGTTATCACTTTTCTGATTGATATAAGGGAGAGAGAACACAAGCTCTTAGCATTTTGAAGAACGAAACTGGAACCAGACCACGGCTGTAGTGTGAAAGGCATATATACTTAACTATTTTTGCCTGAGCTCGTGTTAGTCTTGTTTCCTGCTGTGATGGCTCATCTCAGTCATGAACATTAATGTACCTGGTCTCACGGGGGGGGGAAAGTACCAGATATAAGTTGTCTGACTTCTCTGACTGTGCTAAGTCCATACTCAGACTATATTTCCACATGCATGGTACCAGGCTAATATTCCACATAATAGGATTTGGAGGTCATTAGTGACTTTTCAGTGTTCCAAGGAATCCAGCTATAGACTGAGGACTCAACCCAAACAATGAAGCTTTCCTGTTTGGTAACATCAGATGATATTTCTGTTAACTTTCGTAGGAGGCGTTAATTTCCTGAACACTGACTTTCTCAGCTATAGAACAAAGAGGAACGACATAACTTTCCAGCTGAATTATTTGCTTCCTCTCAGTTGTGGAAATGAGAACTCTCTGGCTTTTCCATTACTCTGACAAGCAGCGGAAGGGCCTGGAAAGTTGGTCCAAAGGACAGGGAATCACTCTTTCTATGAAATACTCTTTAGAACCTTAAGTTCAGCACAAGATTCTCGTAGGTATTGGTTGACTTTAATAATATTTATATTTCAGTGTCCAAAGACCCCAGTTGGTGCTGGGGCCCCATGGGTGACAGTGTGGTCTACTCAGTGGGCCATGGGAGTCAGGGAACCGAGGTTCTTTTCCCAGCTCTGGCATTGCTCTGTTGTGGGAAGGTGGGCCAGTCAGTTCACCTCTCTGGGCCACTGTTTTCTCTCCTGCGCTGTCTGTCTTCTCTGTTTAGTTTGTCAGCTCTTTGGGGCAGGAACTGCCTCTCGTTGTGTGTGTACAGCGCCTAGCACATTAGAGGCCTCAGCCAAGATCAGGGCCCCAAGCGCTACTGTAATACAAATAATTTGCTAAGCACTAAGTACAAACACTCAGGAGACGTGATTCTCTGCCCCCAACAAACTTGCAATATTCCCAGATAACCAAGAAAAAGGGTCACTCTGCATTAGGTGACGACATATGGCTTTACTTAACGCTGTCTGCGTTAACGGTAACACTAAATGTCATAAATCTGCTCGTGTGTTAAACTGTCGAATTCATTAGACGTCAGTAATTGAGCTGTGCAGTGGGTATAGAACGGAGCTTTTTAAATGAATGTAAACGCAGCCCAGGAACCCAATGCTGTTGTGGAGTCCCGGCCCTGACAGCATGTGGCAAAGCTTACTGTGTGATGGCCTGTTCGTGAGCCTTGTGAAATATGTTTAAACCAATGGAAAACCCGCTGATCTGGCCCAGAGCAACGATTGGGCAAAAGTGAAACCTAAACACTGTTGTGTCAACTGGAGCCTCTTGTGCTGCGAAGCACCTTGTTTGCTTCGTAACTGGTCTGTGGCTGTCTTGCACTCCAGAACTGCGCTGCAGATGGAGAGGTACTTAGGCACCTCAGACAGTTACTAGGCTGTGACTATAACTTTTGGAAATGGTGGTGGTTTTTTTATTTTTGAGACTCCTGCCCTACATAAAGCTTTTAAAAGCAAATCCATTAGGTGCTGATGCAGTCAAAAAATTAGTTCCTGCAGGAATATCTGACATGATTTACTTAACACAAAATCAAGCTGATCCCTCACTGCCTGTCAAAGCTGCATGTGCATGTTTGATGTTGTGACCAACAATAACCTGCGACTCGGAGGTACCTGAAGAATCAAAGCTGGTGAATTTGGGGAAAGAGAGTCCGACAAGGAAAAACATCATGTAAGTGAAACAGTGGGAATCAACTTTTAAAATATCTAGTCAATG